CCAGAGCTGGGGAGAGAACCCAGGAGTCCTGGCTCCCAGCCCCCCCAGCTCTAACCCACCAGCCCCCACTCCCCTCCCAGAGCTGGGGAGAGAACCCAGGAGTCCTGGCTCCCAGCCCCCCCAGCTCTAACCCACCAGCCCCCACTCCCCTCCCAGAGCAGGGGAGAGAACCCAGGAGTCCTGGCTCCCAGTCCACCCCTGCTCTAACCACCAGCCCCTACTCCACTCCCAGAGCCAGGGAGAGAACCCAGGAGTCCTGGCTCCCAGCCCCCACTCCCAGGCAGGGCCCAGGCACTGTGGGGCCAGGCCCAGACTCACGTTGCTGTAGATCTGGTGGAGCACGTCTCGGATGTTGCCCACGCCCAGGTCCGTGTTCATGACGACCTTGAGCCCGCTGGGCGTCTCATAATAATGCAGCTTGTACTTGCTGGTCTGAAAGGCCAGGAACCCGTCCTTCCTGCGCCCGCGCGGCTAAGGAGTGCGATGGGGTCTGCCCCCCACTCCCCCGAAAACTCCCCAACCCCAGCCCAGGCATGTGGATCAAGAACCTCCCCCATGCCACACAGCCCATCCATTGGGCAGAGAACCCCACCCAGATCCTACAGAGCCCCCCCAGCCCATCGCATGGACAGAGACCCCCCCCAGACCCTACACAGCTCCCCTGCTGGCCCCCCCAGCCCATCACATGGATACGAGACCCCCCACATCCTACACAGCTCGCTGATGGGCCCCCCAGCTCATCACATGGATGAGACCCCCCCCGACCCTACACAGCCCAGCTCATCACATGGATAGAGACTGCCCCAGACTCTACATATCCTCCCAGCCCATCACATGCCTACAGACCCCCTGCTCCCCCAGTCCTGCACAGCCCCTGCCCCCCAGCGGAGCCCTATGGTGGGGCGCAAGGATACATGTCGACGGGGCTCATCTTGCCCACGAAGGAGCGCATGGAGAAGAGCATGCCGTACATGAGTTTGAACTCCTGGGGGGCAGCGAGAAAGAGGGCAGTGTGAGACCAACCCCTTGCCACAACGAGGCTGGGGTGGGTAGGACGACGTGCGCCCCCGCCCCACTGGGGCCCCCGGGTCTTTCCTGGCGCCCCATAGGCTCAGCCCCCCAGGAAGCAAGAGTCTGGGCCCGGCCGACCAAGGTGTGTGTGGGGGGGGGGTGCGGGGGGGGGTCTCACCTCCTCCTTGGAGATGCCGGCCTGTTTCTTGCGGTGCCACTCGCTGTAATGCAGGCAGATCCCATTGCGGTCAAAGAGGTACAGGTTGTGCACAGTCATCTGTGGGACAGAAAGGGGCAGGGCATGGGGGTGATGGGCACACAAGAGGGCATGGGGGGGGGGAGGAGACCTTTGTTACTGGGCTCATTAATTTCCTTCTGCTTTTCTCCCTCTCCCTGACCCTGCAGCTCCACCCCGCCCAAGCCCCCCACATGGAGCCCCACGGTCCCTCCCAGCCCCACCTGAGCCCACCTTTCCCCCCAACTACCCCACAACCCACCCCAGCCCCCCAAGGCCCCACCTTCCATTCAACCAACCCCCCCGTCCCGCCCCCAGCCTTTTTACCCACAAACCAGCCCCAGCCCCACCCCCTTCCCTCACACCGCCCAGCCCCGCCCCGCCCCGCCACCCGACTCCCCGACACCATCCCCCG